TTACTAGTTACAGTCCCCCCCATCAGGAAGCCAAAGTGGGGCCACAACCCCGTCAAAACCAATGATTTTGGCTTCCTCGCCGACGCCGTTTTGGTCGCTCCGACGACTCGCGGAACCCCCCACCCAGGTCCACGGGACGGGGGGGAAGAAGGAGGGGTGGAAGAGGAAATGCCATAGACCACCGACGCCCGGAGGGCTGGTGGGATCTCCTGCGGTAGGTAGCGGGGGCGAAAGAGCTGGCCCCGCGCGCGTTCCTCGTAGTTCTTCCCGTCGTCAGGGTACAGCTCGAAGGACACGATGCGGCCCGTTGCTCCTGTACGGGCCCAAATTTTTTTTCAGCTCCTCCTGCGCGGCCGTGAGCCGAACCTCCGTGCCGTCGTGTGCCAGTCAGACGCCGTAGATGCCCCCCACCTTGTGCATGTTCGGGACGGTCAGCAGGCGCCGGCCCGCGTCTGGATCGCCTTGAATCGCGCTGAACTTGTCAAGGCCTGCAGGAAAAGAAGGGGCACGCCGACACGCCGCGCGTCGCGACGAGCGCGCATGTTGATCCACTTCGCCATCGTTTCCCAGTAGATGCTCATGCTGTAGCCGAGCCAACAGTTCTCGTGCTGGTGCCGACGGTCCAGGGCACCGCGGCTGTCCGAGGCCAACATCTTCTCCAGGCGAGGTTCCCCCTTGGCGCCGGCGCCGGCGCCAATGGGGGGGGGTGAACCCCCTTTTCCCCCCGTTGGGCCCTGTCTGGCCATCGTCGCTGCGCCGCCGCCGTTGGCGCTGCTGGCCGCCGCCAGCGCCGCCGGCGCCGGCGCCGGCGCCGGGGGCGGGTGGGTGGGTCGGTTCCGACCCCCCCACCCCCTGGGGGAAGGGGGGTGGGGGTGGGGGTGGGGGGGTTATAGGGGATTGGACCCCCGTTGGTTCTGATGGGCGGCGCCGAAAATTGGGGGGGGGACCCCTCGTTGTTTCGAAAGCGCCGCCGACTGTTCCCAAGGCAAACGCTCGTGGAACGCTCTCTCTCTGATGTTGTTATCGCGTTTTTGATGAAGACGATGATGGTGACTCTGCTAACAAAAATGCGGCTGATGATAATGATGCTGATGATGACGATGGTGATGCTGATGGTTCGGTGTGAGCCAGTGAATGAGTGGGTGATTGGGTGATGGAGTGATGTGGAGGAGCAAGGGGTGTGACAGGATTGCGCGGGGTGTCCAGAGAGAACCATAACCCCACTCAGGAGGTTTGCATCAGCAACCCCATCTAGGACGTGGGGGAACAATCAAACATGAATTTCGACATGCGCGCGCGCGGCCGACGCGCGCGGCCGACGAGCGCGAGTGGCCCGCGAGGTTTCATTTGACAGGGGTCGGGTCTTTCTCCCCGCCCCCCTGCAAACGCGCAAGGGCGTTCGAATGATTTCGACATGTATTCGCGAGAGGCCCGCGTGGTTTCATTGGTGCAAAATTTTGGATACAAATTGTTATCCCCCGAGAAATTCGCAGAACTGTTCGCAGTCCAGGTGACAAATCATGCTGCAATGCCAGGTTGTGTTTTGTATGTTTTCGGGGACCTCGATCTTGACATCCCTACGACACCCAGGTTTGTTGTTTCAGATTTCCCGCGTGCGTGCGCGCTTGTACCCGCGCGTCGAGTTTGTCCGATTCACTGGTGCAATTGATGTTTAAAACGCATGGCTTTTGACAAACGTGTGCGCGTGCGTACCTTTATCTGCCACGGATGCGGGGGGGTTCATGAGAGCTCCTTGATTGATCTGAGGTTATGTTAAAACGAACGATCCGAAATCGGATTTGTAGGTTACCGTGTCTGAGGCGGGGCGGTAACGCCGGAGGGGCGAAATTGATATTTCACATGGAAAAGACGGCCTCTGTGGTGCAATTTGCGTGGGGCAATTTGTGTTGCGCAGTGAAGTAACGTTGACTCGCGAGTTGTTCCGATTTTCTTTTCAGAACATCCAATCTACGTGGTGGAGCCTACGCGGTGCAATCTAACCGGTGCAAGTTATACCGTGCAATTTGAGTGGTGTTATCCCGTGCAACCTGTTTGCGGTGACGGGGTGGCGGCGGCAGCAACAAGTTGGCGGAACGAATCCTGACGACGGGTGGTGACGAGGCGGCGATGGGGTGGCGACGGCTGCAACGAGGCGGCGGACCAGACACGAACCCAGTTCCTCAAAAAACAAGCAGGACTCCGAAGTGCAGGCTCTGTGTGAGGAAGGAAGTCAAATCACGTGTTTGGATTGCAGGTTTTTGTTTGAATCGTGGGCGTGGGCCGCTAGCATGGTTTGACAATTAAGGACCCAGGGTTTGTGTTTGTGTGTGTGTGTGTGTGTGTGTGGAAGTGGTTGCTTGCAGGTGTTGATTCTCGTGGACTTTAGCTGCACCATATGTGCAGAAGTGGTGAGACAATCTGCACGCATCGCGGTAAATCGCTGGCCAAATGCGCGTAAATGCGTGTTGGGTCTTCCTGCAAAATGCATGATTGTTCAAGCGTCGGTATGGGACACCCACCTCTGCGACAGCTACAATTGCTATTACAGCGACTACCGCTACTACGGCTACTGTTACCCTTACGTCCGCTGGGGACGTGCGGAGAAAGGAGGAATGGGGGCAGGAAGCTGAGGATGACGATGGAATCTGATACTGATGAGGAGGTAAGAAGGATTTGGAGGAGGAGGAAGAGGAGGAGCGTGGCAGAGGAGCGTGGCGGAGGAGCAGCGGAGATCTGATGGTGGAGCATGGAGGGGAAGCAGGAGGAGGATGAGGAGGACAAGTGTAAACCCATGGCGGATCAACACTGTTGCAATCAACCCTCCAAGTTCATTCTTCATATGTTCTGACAGTCATGTATTTTCATTGCGGAAGTGCCTCATAGGAAAACAACCGTCTGAGAGTCATCATTTGTGCCAACACATTGAATGACCGTGCTTGTTGCGGCCTGGCAATCTTAAATCGTGCCAGAATACCATTCCGTCAATTTTAACACCGCGAATCAACGTCACTATTGTGTCCTGACAGCTCTCAATTGCGCCAGAACGCCTTTCCCAGGTATTTGCCCAACCAACTGCTTGAACTTGTAAAAGGAATGTGCGCGACGCTAGGGTGAGCGGGGCGTTCCGAATAGGAACCGCCTTTCAGCATTTAAACTTGTGCAACGTTTCAACACGAATGTGCGCAAGCTGCCCTCCATCCCTGAATCTGTTCCAAATTTGAAGCTTCAGGGTCATACGTGATGGGGAAGTCTTAAGCGACACGTCCGTCCCGCCCTGCCGACGCGTCGGGGAGTTATCCCCCAAACAGTGCTTGCACTCAGGGGTTCTGATTTGTTTTCCAGCAACTGGGCCTGAGTGCTGGTCTGGCTGCTATGCCGTCGCCGCCTCGTCGCCGCTCGTCGTCTGGGCCTGGGAGGCGGTCTGGCGGTTGTGTTGTCTCCGTCGCCGCCCCGTCGCCGCCTCGTCACCGCCTGTCGTTTGGGTCTCGAGGCTATGTTGCCGCCGTCACCGCCCCGTCGCTGCCTCCTCGCCGTGCATCGCGTTGCCCTTACCAACATATATACCATCGAATCTATTGCCCGAACTACATTGCAACACATCGAATGCACAACATATGTTGCCATACCTAGGTTGCACAACATCTATTGCACAGCATTGGTCGTGCCACATGGACTGCACAACATCTATTGTACAGCATATGCTCCGCATCCATTGAACCACATGGGCTGCTACATGGAAGCTGTATAACATAATTGCACATCGTATACTGTAAACCATTGGTTGCACCATACACAGTTTTCCACATTAATAGCTCCCCACAGTTCGCTCCACATAGATGGCAACACATGGAGTGCACACGATTGGATGCACAGCATATACCACTTGCTACCGATTGCATTACTTTGATTGCTTCTTATTGACTGCTCCACCCAGATTGCTTCACATCGAATGCGCCACATATATGGCATAGCACGTATTGCCTAACACACGTTATATCACATACATGGCATCACATGTGCTCCACCACCGGTCTTGGGCAGCGTAGATTTTTCAATACTGATCGCACACCATGTTCTGCACAACATCGATTTCCCAATAGTGTTTGTACCACAAAGATGGGCCCATCGATATGGCACGACATGGAGTGCTCCACCCATATTGCACCACCCATATTGCACCACCTTGATTGCGCCATCAACATTGTGCAGTATAGGTTGCACAACCTCTCTTACACAGCACATGCTGCATCACATCTATCCCACCACATGGCATGTCTCATAGAGCTTGCACAACGTATTTCGCTAGAAACACGGCTTTTGGTCCACGCTGTCTAATATTCATAAGGACAAGGGGATGATCAGGAGGAGGAGGAGGAGCAGGACGAGGAGGAGGAGGAGGACGTGGAGGGGGTCGAGACGGAGGAAGAGGAGGAGGAGGAGGAGGAGGAGGAGGAGGAGGAGGAGGGGGAAGGGGGGGAGGATTGAGTAGCAGGGAGGTGGGGGAGGAATTAAGATAATGGAGGAGCAGGGGGGGGGGAGGAGGAGGAGGAGGAGGAGGAAGAGGATGAGGGGGAGGAGGAGGAGGGTTTTGGGGAGGAGGAGGAGGAGGAGGAGGAGCAGGAGGATCAAGTTGGAGGAGGAAGAGCAGGGACGACTCCGTGAGTTGAGGGAGGAAGAGGAGTTGTAGGAGGGAGGATGGAGGACGGAGGACGGAGACGGAGGAGGAGGAGGAGGAGGAGGAGGAGGAGGAGGACGAGCAGGAATTTGGAGGGAGGAGGAGGAGGCTGAAATGGGAGGAGGAAGGCCGCGGACATGGAGGAGGCGCGAGGAGGAGGAAGGCCGCGGACATGGAGGAGGCGCGAGGAGGAGGAGGAGGAGGAGGAGGGCCATGGCCCACGAGGCGGGCCCAGCGGGCGCACGCGGGGGCGCCCCCCGTCGCCGCCGCAGTGCCGCACTCTCCCCCCCCGCCCGACCGCCTGGCGCCCACCGCTCGCCGCGAGGTGGTCGTGCAGCGGACGCAGGCGCCCGCCCGCCCGCCCGCCCGCCCGACGCGCGCGCGCCCCCCCTTCGGAGGCCCGCGGCGGCCTCCTCCGGCGGCTTGCGCAGGGCCCCCTATGGTGGCCCGCCGGGGCCCTCGGGAGGCCCTCGGGAGGCCCTCGGGGCTGCTGTGGGGCGCCAGGGCGAGGGCGCGACGGCAGCGTCGGCGGCGGCGGCGGCGGCGCCGGCGCCGACGACGGCGTGGAGGCCCTGGGCTCCTGGCCATGGCCCTGGCCCGGGCTCTGGCCCTGGCCCCTGAGGGCGTGGAGGGGAGGCCCTCTTCCTCCTCCTCCTCCTCCTCCTCCTCCTCCTCCTCCTCCTCCTCCTCCTCCGGCGCAGGAGCACCCCGCCAGGCCGATGAAGTTTTTTGTCGAGGATTTAAGCATTCAGGCCCGAGGTGCGGAGGCGGATGTCTCGGCCTTGAGACTGGAGGTCCAGACCAGTAGCACGCAGCTCGGAGTCGACTCGGCGGGAGGAGGAGTTGTGTCGCTGCGCACCAGAGGCGATGCCAGGATGGGGAGCGCTAGGCGGCGTAGAAGTAAGTTGTCAAGCATCGGCAAGCAGGGCGCGCGCACATTTCAAGTTGCGCGCATGGGATTTCTCCCCTCTGTGCTGTATGGGGCGGTTTGCCTCGGAATGGACCCGACGCGGCTCACTCGAGCAAGGGCGCTCATGGCCTCGGCGCTGGGCGGGAACGCAATCGGTAAGGACCGACTGCTCCGCCTGTGGACGCTGAGATGCGACCCCCTGGTCGAGGCCTGCACGAAGCCGCTGCTCAAATGGGCGGAGGCTATCTTTGCTGGCAGCCATGAGGAGATCATGGTTGCTGGGTGGCGCAGAGCTGTCGCGGCGGCCGCTGCCGCCAAGCCTGGAAGCAACCCCTGGAGGCAGATAAAAGGACCCGCTTCAGCCGTCTGGGCCACACTCAGACTCCTCTCGTGGACGTGGCCTGCCTATCATGTTTTCTTCGATCACCTCGGGCAGCAGTGGGAGTTGCGCAGGGCAGCACCGCAGTGTCTCAAGAAGCTGAGAGGAGCAGCGAGAGCCGCTGTAGCCGAGGATGAGGGCCTCCAAGGGATTGCGCATCGTGCTGTATCCTCCACCTCGGACTCCCTCCTTTTCCCAGGGCTGCGTAGCCTAGCCTCCGTCCTGCGTGCCGAGCTGTATGCACTGCTCAAGTTGCTGAATAGCGCCCACCCGCCTCTGAGGGTAGGGGTAGACTACAGTTCAGTCATTCGAGGCCTCCGTAAAGGCCCCAGCTGGTGCTGCACTGCAGCCCTAGGAGCTCGACGTGCGGGCGAAAGGCTTTCTCTTGCAAGACCAGGCGCGCGTTGGGGCGCAGGCCCTGCCAGGGCAAGATGAGCGTGGATCGTCGGTGGGGCGTTGAGTTGGGGCGGGGGGTTGGGGAAGGCGTCATCTCTCCAGCCCTCCGCGGTGCGGCCATGGGGCACAAAGTGCACCGCGCGGGCCAGTTTTCTTTCTGCGATCGGTGCGGTGTGTTCTCGAGCGAGAGAGGGTGCAAGCTCGTGGCTGCCTGCGTGTACCGTCTCTCGCTCCTGCGCCGAGGCAAAAATCCTTGTGCAGTGAAGGTCTCCCTGGAGGCAGAGCCGCGCTCCCTGGTACAGGTGGAGTGCGCGGCGTTCTGGGAGCGCCTGATGGATTGATCGGGAAGGGGCGGGAAGCACCCCGAGGTGGAGTGCCCGCCCATCCGTCTTACATATGGCGAGCTGAGGCGGGGACCGCCAGGCATCGTTCTTGCAGCAAAAAACCTCCTCCTCCTCCCCCTTCTTGTTCCTCCTCCTCCTCCGCGCCCTCGGAGGCCCTGGGCTTCTTGGGAGGCGCGGGCCCCATCTGTGGACGTAAGGCCGGCGCCTGCCACGAAGCAACCCATCATCCTCAGAAGTTTTCCGCCCTCCCCCCTTCCCCGCCCTTGTGCGCGCCGCCCACTGACCACCTCCTTCCTCCTCCTCCTCCTCCTCCTCCTCCTCCTCCAATCCTCCTCCTCCTCCTCCTCCTCCCTCCTCCCTCCTTCTGCTTGCTCCTCCTCTTCCTGCTCCTCCTCCTCCTCCTCCTCCTCCTCCTCCTCCTCCTCCTCCTCCTCCTCTTGTCCGGCGATGCTGGGGCCGCCTGCTGCGCCGACGCCCTGGGCTCCCGCTCCCTTCCCCCCCGTCTCCCCCCCTTTCTCTGCTGCGAGACGGGGCCCTGGGTCGGCTTCCCTAGGGGAACAACAAGTCACATAAACATAGTAACTCGGAGGTCCGCGCGAATTTCTCGGATCGGCGCTGGGACCCCCCGGCGGCGCCGCGCGTGGCATTCGTCGGGCTCCTGTCACGTCGCTTGCATGGCGTCTGATTCGCTGTTAGCGGCGACTAGCGGGCCTTAGCGCGTGGACGCCCATATGCTTCCACGGGGATGGATCGGCTAAGTCGGTGAGGAGGGCTCCTCCTCCTCCTCCTCCTGTTCTTTGTCCTCTCCCCCTCCTCCTCCTCCTTCTCCCTTGTTCCTGAGGATTCCCGAGGATCGCGTGGGATTCCGTGGGTTCTGTAGGATTCTTTGTAGTATTAGTTACGGTTCCTGCGGGTTCCTTTGAATTCCCGAGGGCTCCTGGGGATTCCTGAGTGTTCCTAGAATCCCCGAGGATTCATCGAGGTTAATCAGGCCTCCGATGAATTATTATCCATCGGGGCCTTGCAGGGGCCTACGAACATGGCGGTGTACACAGGCGCTGGCGTGTACAAGCACCGTGTTGTACACAGGCACTGTGGTGCACACGGCTGCTGCGGTGTGCGCAGGCGCTGCGGTGCACGCGGGCATTGCGGCGCAGTAGACGCACAATTGAGGAGGAGGGGGGTGGGGGAAAAGGGGAGGGAGTGATATAACAGACCGCCAACATCTTTTAGTCGCAGCTTGGCGGCCCCCAACTAGGGGGCCTGCGGTTTGGCGCGGGGCGGGCAGCCAACATCTGCTCTTGGCTTCACGTGTGCTTCACCTGGCCAGCTTTGGCATTCAGTTGAGCATCCGCCCGAAAACTCTATGGGTGCGAGGGGGGAAACCGGGGGGGGGAGTTGCAGCAAGACGGATGATAAGGTCCTGCAACTACCCCAAACGTCCGAACCCCCTTTCCAGGAGGAAGGGGGAGGATGAGGATGAGGAGGAGGAGGAGGAAGCGAGGGGAGGAGGAGGAGGAGGAACATGATAAAACGAATAATGCATAATAACAGATCGGGGGAAAAACAACGCGATCGCGACGATGGCCAGCACGACGACGACTCTGGCGACGAGTACTTTACGAAGAGGGCCCGAAAGGGACAGCGCAATCTCACACGCTTGTAGGCTGCGCAGGTTTCGGGACCGCGGCCCGATCCGCGGCCAGCCTGGCGATGACGAGCTCAACTCATGAGGGCTCGAAGAAGCCGACCACGCAGCGCAGGGCGGCCCCGCGAGGGCCTCACGACGGCCCGGAAGGAGCCGAAAACATCCCGAGGGGGGCCCAAATTTGCCCAGGTCGGCCCTACGAGGACCCCGAAACGGCCCTGAAAGACCCCACATACGGCAGAAAAGAGCCCAAAACGGCCCATTGAGGATAATTGCCCAAGAGAACTTCCAGACGGCTCAGGGGAGTCCCAGGACCTCCCTAAGACGGCCATCCTAGACAGCACAGCGCAGCACAGTGCAGCACAGGCCTTACCAGACGGCACCGTCTCAAAACAACAGGGGTCGAACGCACCCCGCCAGGTTGCCCGCGCTACGGTGCCCGGGGCTCATCCTCCCTCCCTCCTTCTCCGTAGCCGCTTTGGCTGAAGGAACTATGGTAAGGGCGCAGGGGTCCATCCTCCGCCAATTGCACGCCATCGCCGTCCACAATGTGGCCAGGCTGCCTGCGGGCAGGTGCCCGCAGGTCCTCGCCGCGCTGGCCTCGCTGTCCACGGCCATCGATGCGGAGTTCCCACGGAGAAGCCGGAAGCAGAGGCAGACGCAGCGCCCACAACGCATCCACAATGTGATAACTGGGGCACGGGTATGGGCCCGCCGATATCGCGAGTTGAAGACCACATCGGAGAAGCAAACGGCCGATCTAGCAAAGTTGACGGCCGCGAAGACGGTGGACGGCCGAGTGGCAGCAGAGTGGATCCAACGGATCATATGTTGCGCGCCGCACACGTCCGCGCGCGCTCTCTGCAGCGCGTTCCATCTGGCATGCGGCAGCGACGCGGTCCTCGTGTCTCGCCCCAGCATCGGGAAGATCAAAGACGCATGGGTGGAGTCGTACGTCGACATGACGTTGGCAGCCGCAGGTCGTTCCGTGGCGGCTTCCCTCGCGGCCGCGGCCGGCGCTGGAGGGCAATTCTTAGCGGTGGTGGCGGAGCACTGCCAAGACGAGGCGGACATCCGGGTCCTCAGCGGGAACCCCCGTGACGGCCCCGCCACTCCCTGGCGACAACGTGCATCGAAGGTACAACACCATTGCCTCACCGTCGCGTGCGAAGGCAAAAGGTTTGCCATCCCCGTCGAACTAGAAGCTTTTGGGGGACAAATCGGCTTCTACCTTGGCCACCTCTTGCGAGGCCCTGCTCCGCAACAGGGTCGCTCCTCTGTTGCAGCCGCCAGCGAGGGCCCGCGGCGGGGGGCCGCGAGCGCAGGCTGCGGAGCCCGAGATCTGGCTCGTGCACGTTTTCGCTGGCGACGCGGTTCCAACCAACGAGCTGGCGGCCAGATTGTTGTGGGAGATTGTTCAGCAGCGGCGCCTCGCGCCGCGGGTCCACTACTTCTTGGTGGTGGTCAAGTGCGGTACGCACCAGGCAGCCCTATCTGCCAAACTTGGCGTCGCGGGGAGAGTAGCCACAGCCGCCGCGTGGCGGTCGCCGAAGGCGCCTGATGCCGCCACAGGCACCAGCGTGAGGATCTTCAAATATTTGCTTGCGGAGTCTACGAGAATTTCGTCGACTCCGTGCGCCGTTGGGTGGGCGACGCCTTGGCGGGCTCT